CTAATTATATATCCACATGCATATACTTAATGATAAACTATACATAATATTTATTACAAAATATATAATATATATAATAAAAAATAATAATATATATATCTGCATATATTAAAATATATAATATATATAATAATAATAATAATATATATATATATATCTGTATATTATAAAATAATAAACAAATATATAAATAATACGCGAGTCAAGAGAATGACAATGTGCGATATCTTTGTGTTTTTTCTTGTTTTTTTTTCTGTTATTGATTAAATAATATATTATTTAATTAAACAAATCTTTAAATGCATTAAATAACTAAATTAATTACTTATAATACAACCAAGCAGCAAACAAACTGCCCCAGAGAAGTACTTGACCCCAGTTAATGTCGAAACGAGCTCTTTGTCTTTCTCTGTCTTTCTCCTCCCTCTCACTCCGACGGTACTGCACCCACAAACCCTAAACCCTAAACCCTAAACCCTAAACCCTAAACCCTAAACCCTAAACCCTAAGCCCTTAACCCTAAACCCTAAACCCTAAACACTTAACAACCCCTAATAACCTTTATTGACCTCTAATAACCATGATTAACCCCTAATAACCCTTTAAAACAATAAACCCTAAACCCTAAACCCTTGAAAACCTTAAACAACCCCTAATAACACTTAGAAAACCTTAAAACCCCCTAATACTAATCAACCTTAATAACTCTAAACCCTAAACCCTACTCCACGTCCTCTCATGGCATTTACGGGCAGCTTCTTAGCTGCAACAAGCTGCTGCTGCTGCTGCTACTGCTGCTGCTGCTGCTACTGCTGCTGCTGCTGCTGTTGCAAGGGTTTGTTTGTAATAAAGAAGTAAAGGAGACAGGAGACAGCAGCAACGAACCTGTTCTTCAATAACTCTTTTAAATAACTCTTTTTGCTCTTCTGTTAAACTCGAAGCAAAGCTCTCTAGCTGCGTCTGGTTGGGGTTTGCTGCTGCTGCTGCTGCTGCTGCTGGTGCTGCTGCGGGTGCTGCAGCACCGCTCTGGGCAGCAACATCGATGCCTGCAGCAGAAAGAGACAGTTAAAAGGAGACAGACAGATAAGAAGCAAAGCAACAAGGAGACAGACAAAGGAGACAGACAAAAGAGACAGCTACCCACCTGCAGCCTTCGTTCGTAGAGCAGCAGATTGCAGCACTGGCTGCTGCTGCCCTGCTGCTTTAAGTGCAGCAACAGAAGGTGTACCCATTGTCTTCAAATATGCTGCGAAACAAACAGCAGCAGCAGCAACAGCAGCAACAACATGAGCAACAGCAGCAGCAGGAACATCACCAGCAACAGCAGCATCAGCAACGAGAGCAGCAGCAGCATCAGCAGCAACATCAGCAGCAACAGCAACACCATCAGCAGCATCATCAGCAGCATCATCAGCAGGAACAGCAACATCAGCAGCAGCATTATCAGCAGCATCATCAGCAACATCAGCAGCAACAGCAACATCAGCAGCATAATCAGCAGGATAATCAGCAGCAGCTGCATCATCAGCAGCAGCAGCATAATCAGCAGGATAATCAGCAGCAGCAGCATCATCAGCAGCAACAGCAACATCAGCAGCAGCAGGATAATCAGCAGCAACATCATCAGGATAATGAGGAGGAAGAGAATTAACTAACAAGTAGCTCTGATAAGTTCCTGTGTCCTCTCTGTTAAAACCCTATTAGTTGAAAGTAAAGACTTTAATACAGCCCAGTGCCGAGCAGAGACGTCAGCGAACTGCCAGACAGCAGTGCACAAACTTGCGACGAAAACGAAGGGAAACAAAGCCCTAAAAAACTGCGCAAGTCAATCACAAACCCTAAACCCTAAACCCTAAACCCTAAACCCTAAATATCATGCTAAACAATACATATTCTATACTAAAGATAGTTCCTCTGTTTGCTTGCTTGTTTGTTTATTAGGTGTATATTGATACATATATATATAGATATATATAATGTATATATATATGTATATATATATATGTATATATATATATATATATGTATAGTTAATTAAAACAAATCAACAATACATGCATATACACACAAACCCTAAACACCAAATACTAAATATACACCATTATGTATATATATGTTTATATATATGTTTATATATATATACATTATATATATATACATTATATATATGCATTATATATATATTATATATATTATACATATATAACTAAAACAAACAACACCAACAAACAAAAAACAAAGCACTGAACCCTATATATATATATATATATATATATATATATTTATTTATTTTGTGTAGATTAATATCTATATATTTAAACATAAACAGGTTTAGGGTTTAGGGTTTAGGGTTTAGGGTTTAGGGTTTGTACAAGGATCTTTTCAAACGGAAGAAGCCCAGAAACAAAAGGCAAAAAGTTTAAAGAGTCATCGTCTTCTACAAATCGTTCTTGGATTTCAATGCAAAACACCGCAACGCTATAAATAAAGAAAATCTGCACGCAAAACCCTAAACCCTAAACCCTAAACCCTAAACCCTAGAATAGAGAGAGAGGGAAATATAACTAAAATATAACACAAAGAGAAAGAAAAATAAAAGTATAAAGACAGAGAGAATAAGACAAATCACGGACAAACAAAGAGCAAACCCTAAACCCCAAACCCTAAACCCCAAACCCTGAAAGACAAAGTGAGGTAACCCTAAACCCTAAACCCTAAACCCTAAACCCTAAACCCTAAACCCTAAACCCGGCGTGAGAAAAAGGCATGCTTAAGAGAAGTCAAAATAAACCCCACGGAAAAAAAAAGATCCGCACCCCAAACCCTAAACCCTAAACCCTAAACCCTAAACCCTAAACCCTAAACCCTAGGAGACAGACCTGACGGGCAAAGGAGACATGTTTAGGAAAAGACAAAATGAAGCCAACAGTAAAACAAAGAAGATGCGCAGCGAGAGACAGACAAACTGCAGTTATCGATATGCGTTCGTCTTGCTCCCCCACTGAACACACAGCAAAAACCCTAAACCCTAAACCCTAAACCCTAAACCCTAAACCCTATTTCCTTGAAACAAGAAAAACATATATACCCTAAACCATAAACCCTTGATCCGCAATACAATACCCTAAACCCTAAACCCTATAAGCCCTATAAACCCTAAACGTATAGACCCTATAAAGCCTATAAACCCTACAACGCCTATAAACCCTATAGACCCTCTAGACCTTCTAAACCATAAACCCTAAACCCTAAACCCTTGCCTTCTTTGAGGTCGCCGAATCTATCGTAGAAGCTCTTGCGGATATCATGCGTTAAAACCTCTTGTGCTTTTTTTAGTTCTTGAAAATACTCCTCAGGAGGCATATCCCCAGCAAAAGGTGGTCGTACACCTGAAGAAGCTACTCTGTCCGGGTGGTACTTCTTTGATACATTTCGGTAACCCTGAGCGCAAACCCTAAACCCTAAACCCTAAACCCTAAACCCTAAACCCTAAATTCTAAACCGTATATCGTTAATCGTAAATTCGGAAATACTATATCGTGCCTATACACTACAACACAGACAGTAAATCCTAAACCCTAAACCCTAAACCCTAAACCCTACCTGTAGGATGTCGTTTCTATTTGCATGAACATCCACTTCTAACATCGCATAAAAGTTCTTCCGGGGGGCGGCGATGGGTAAATAAGCCAAATACATCAGCACAGCCGTCAAAACTGAAACACAAACCCTAAACCCTAAACCCTAAACCCTAAACCCTCATGGTTACTACAGCTCTCATGGCCCAACAATTAGCACGCCGGCAAAACCCTAGACCCTAAACCCTAAACCCTAAGCCCTGAATCGCGTGGAGGGGGCGCTAAGATGTTGTTTTAGACAGATTAGGGTTTAGGGTTTAGGGTTTAGGGTTTAGAGATACCGGGTTTACGAATATAGGCCACCAGCTTTGCTTGCCGCTGCGGCAGCAGCTGCGGCAGCCGCGGCATCAGCAGCACCACAGTAAGGGCTCCATAGACCACCGTTTGCTGCAGCACTTCATCCATAGACCCTGACATTTTGCTGCTGCTGCTGCTGCTGCTGCTGCTGCTGCTGCTGCTTCTGTTGCTGTTGTTGTTGTTGTTGCTGCTGCTGCTGCTGTTGCTGTTGGTAGTTGCGGTGGTGTTCGCGTTGCCGCTTTGCTCTGCTTGCGGCTGCGCTGCTGTTGCAGTGCTGCTGCTGCTGCTGCTGCGGTGCTGTTGCTGCTGCTGCTGATGCTGCTGCTGCAGTGCCGCTGCTGCTGCTGTGTTGCTGCTCCTGCTGCTGCGGCACAGGCGGAAGCGGTATGGCCTCGGGCTGCTTCCGTTGCTGCTGCTGCTGTTGCTATTGCTGCTGCTGCTGCTATTGCTGCTGCTGTTGCCGCTGCTGCTGAACCGCTGCGCGTTGCTGCTTCCGCTGGATAATTTGCTGCTTCAAGTTAGGCGAGAGTGGTTAGAGTTGCAGGGCAAGCTGTTGCTGCTGCTGCTGTTGCTGCTGCTGCAGTTGCTGCTGCTGGGTTTTTGAGGCCGCGATGAGGACTGCAGCAGCAGACGCCGTGCATGCGCTGCAGCAGAAGGAGCTGGAGAGACGAAGCAGCAAGAGACGAAAACAAAGAGTGAAGCAAAAGACAAGCTAATATTCGTGGTTTTGCTGCTGATGCTGCTGACGCTGCTGCTGCTGCTGCTGCTGATGCTGCTGCAGCGGCGGCAGCAGCAGCAGCAAACGTCTCAGAGGCTTGTATGGATCGCTGGGGGGCCTGTAGAGCAGCAGCAGCAGCAGCAGCTGCAGCAGCAGCAGCAACTGCTGCAGCAGGAAGAAGCCGCTAGAGCAGCACAAATAAAATTTAAATTAATACAATAAAACAAATTCTTACTGCTTTTCTTTCTACAGATTCATTTGCTGCTGCTGCTGCTACTACAGCAGCAGCCCCTCAGGGCCTCCCGGCCTTACCCCTGCAGTGTGGGTTGCTGCTGCTGCTGCTGCTGCGTATCACCTGTTGCTGCTGCTGCTGCTGCAGGGGCTGCCGGTTTTGCTGCAGCTCTTGTGCTGGGGTTTGTTTTTTGGATTTGTTTAATAAGTTTATTGTATTTATTTTGAATTCTTTTTCTTATTCAGCGTCTTCAGGTGTATAGGCAGCTTCATCACCCGTACTTCTCTCTCTCTACAGGTGCTGCTGCTGCGTCAAGGCTGCTGGGGGGTTGTATCTGAGATATTTGTTGTTTTTCTGCTTAAGTCCTGCATTCAAAATAATTAAATTTTGCTTTTAAATCTTTTTTAAAACACAAATAATCTGTGGGGCGAGAGAAACCGGAGCTACAGCGGGGGCCGGGAGGATTTGCTGCTGCTGCATCAGCAGCAGCAGGAGCTGCAGCGACGCTCCCTAGGGTTTAGGGTTTAGGGTTTAGGGTTTGCGTTTGTGTGTAGGGTTTTGCTTCAAAATGGCGGAGGCAGCTCACGATGCGAATGGCGCTGGGGAGGCTTTATCTCAGGATGCTGCAACAGCAGCAGCAGCAGCAGCAGCAGTTGCAGCAGCAGCAGCAGCAGGTGCAGCAGCAGCTTCTGGGGGCTCAAGTGGCACCGTCAGCAGCAGCAGCAGCGGCAGCAGCAGCAGCAGCACCACCACCGGGGCCTCAGCTACAACCAACGGTGAGAGCAGCAAGCCCGCAGTGCCGCCTGTTGAGATTAAGCTGTTCATAGGTCGTGTCCCCCAGTCAATTGAAGAAGAGCAGCTAAAACCTGTCTTTCAAGAGTTCGGAGAGGTTAGAGAGGTTATCATCATACGCGACAAGGCGACAGCAAAACATAAGAACAGTGCATTCGTTAAGATGGGTAAGCTGCTGCTGCTGCTGCTGCTGCTGCTTGTCTTGCTGCTGCTGTTGCTCCTGCTCTTGCTTGTCTTGCTGCTCTTGTTGCTCTTGATTGTCTTGCTGCTGATGTTGTTGCTGCTCCTGCTTGTCTTGCTGCTACTGCTGCTGCTCTTGCTGTTGCTCCTGCTGCTTGTCTTGCTGCTCCTGCTTGTCTTGCTTTTGCTGCTGCTGTCTTTGCTGCTGCTCCTGTCTGTGTTGTTGTTGCTGCTGCTGCTGGAGTTGCATTGTTGGTTATGGCGGCGTTGCTGCTGTTTGTTTCTTGTCTTCGTTTTATTGCTGCTCCCTGCCGTGCTGCTGCTGCTCTTGCTGCTGCTGCCGCTGCTGCTGTTCTCTGCACCTCTAGTGCTGCTGCTTCTGTTTCTGCTGTTGCTGTCACAGTATATATATATATATATACATATATATATATTCTATATAATCCTACTGTACGTGTATATACATATATTTACAGATATATATAACTATATATATATATATATGCATGCATTGGGGTGTATGCGCAGCTTCAATAAGCGCTGCTGACAGCGCTATAAAGGCGCTGCACAACACTCGCGTCTTAGAGTCTGCGATGGGTCCGATGACAGTTAAATACGCGACTGGTGAAGCGGAGAGGCTCGGCCTCAACCCGCAGGTTAGCTAGCTAGCCAGCTAGCTAGCTAGCTAGCTAGCTAACAATCAACGAGCTAGCTAGCTTGCTTGCTTGCTTATTTAGCTACCTATCTACCTAACTATGTAGCTAGCTAGCTTATCTAGCTAGATAGCTAGCTAGCTAGCTAGCTAGCTACCTACCTACCTACCTACCTACTCTTAATTGAGAATTGCCTGCCTACTAGCTAGCTTCCTATCAGCTAGCTAGCTAGCTAGCTAGCTATCCATCTAGATAATGCCTCTGCATGCAGATTATTAATGAGGGTTTCATTCTATTTGCATTCTGCGTCTATTTACCTCTCTTATTTATTTTTTAATCTTCTTCTTATTTATTATTTATTTATTATTTATTTATTTATTTATTTATTTATTTATTACTATTTATTTTATTTATTTGTTTAGGCTTGCGAGCCGGGAGTACCTCAAGCGAAATTATTTGTCGGGAGTCTGCCCAGGAGTTTGAAAGAAGAAGAACTGAAGGCTTTCTTTCTTAACTATGGCACTGTAAACCCTAAACCCTAAACCCTAAACCCTAAACCCTAAGAGAATCAAGAGCTTTCTTTCTTAACTATGGCACTGTAAACCCTAAACCCTAAACCCTAAACCCTAAACCC